TTTCCTATAATTTAATTAAATGATTAGAGTTTCATGTCTTACCTTTTTTTCTGTTCGTACTAAATGAAAGGTAGAAATAAAATGTAAGTCACAATGAAAGAAAGAAATAGGAGTATGTTTTAGAAAAATCTATGAACTTTATCATCAGGTCTTGATTATAGATCTGTATGTAGCAAGAATACCAAAATATTGGGCTGGTATTTTTTGGTTTTTGTTTTTTAAATAAATGCATCAAAACTGGAATATCCCAATAAAAGATAACCTTTAACATAATCATCTTGGGAAGACATACAGATTTCTCAAATGATGCTGCCATGGCTTTAAAGCATATTTGGAAGTTCTCTTCTGATATGGCCCGCTTCAAAGATGATATATAAAACTTTGTGCAAAAAAAAAAAAAAAAAAGTCTCTTTTTTTTTTTTTTTTTTTGAGACTGAGTTTTTGCTCTTGTTGCCCAGGCTGGAGTGCAATGGCTCAATCCTGACTCACCACAACCTCCGCCTCCCAGGTTCAAGCAATTCTCCTGCCTCAGCCTCCCAAGCAGCTGGGATTACAGGCATGCGCCACCACGCCTGGCTAATTTTGTATTTTTAGTAGAGATGTGGTTTCTCCATGTTGGTCAAGCTGGTCTCGAATTCCCGACCTCAGGTGATCCACCCACCTTGGACTCCCAAAGTGCTGGGATTACAGGTGTGAGCCACCGTGCCCAGCCCAAAACTTTCATTCTTAATCCTCAAGTGGTATTATCCAGCTCGTTGATACATATTCACATTTGGATCGAAGTGGTTTCTGGTGGGTTTTTTAAAAACATCTTGAAAGATCAAGATTTACTACTACTGTGAACATTTAGAAAAATGTCACAGATTCTCCCTTCAACAGTGAGGACACAAATCAGTGTCTGGCCTGCTGCCACTGGGGCACCATGAAACCTGGGCCAAAGGAGCCAGGGAGCCAGGGAATGCTGATGGCCTTGCTCGCCCCATTCCTCTGAGCTCCGGGCAGACTGAACTTACTATGGCCTCAACCTGCATTGTGTCACTACCCTACGGAATGCTGAAAGGCAGTGAAGATCTAAACAGCATGTCAGTTGCCTGGGGACATGGTTGGGCATGAAAACTCAAATGTTCATCAGGCCTAGGCAGGGAAAGTTCTAGAATGGGGAATGCTAGAGAAAGCAGTAACTAGAGAGCCCAGTATCTCACAAGAGCCACTCATTGCCTTTGCAAACCCTCGGGCCTATGGTTGCCAAAATCTCTAATTATCCAAGAGACTTAAAAACCTGGATTTTTAAAAATAATAATCTTCTGATTATTTAATGTGGGCAAAAAAAAAAAAAGGTAAAATTTTAAATAGAAGTACAAAAATGCATAATACACACATGTCTATGTGCATTTTGTGGACCATCTAAATGCTGCAGGTCACAAGATTGTGTCCTCTGGCCACACAAACCAAAATATCATGTGATACTGAAAGAGCCTTCTGCTCTGAAGCCCGTGAAAGATTCCTGTGCAGATATTACCAACTGGAATTGGAAAGCAAATTCAACTGCTCCTGACAGATAAGTCCACAACATGAAAATCACAAACAATTCCACTGGGAGAGGGATGCCTTTTACTTCTTGCTTTGTTGAAAAGCTTTTTTTTCAGTGATCATGCAGTTTTGCCTTTTATAGTCTGTTTATTATAAAATCAATGATATTTTAGAGAAATGCCTTAGGCTCTATAGATTAAAAAAAATCCTCCCAGCCTTTCTAATGAAGTGGATTTAACTTTTATGGTTTCTCTTTAAAAGCTCTTCATAACTAACACAGGAACAGAAAACGCAAACCCTGCATATTCTCACTCATAAGTGGGAGTTGAAAATGAGAACACATGGACACAGTGGGGGAAGATCACACACTCGGGACTGTCGGGTGTGGGGGGCAAGAGGAGGGAGAGCCTTAGGACAAACAACTAATCCATGCAGGGCTTAAAACCTAGATGATGTGGCCGGGCGCGGTGGCTCAAGCCTGTAATCCCAGCACTTTGGGAGGCCGAGGCGGGTGGATCACGAGGTCAAGAGATCGAGACCATCCTGGTCAACATGGTGAAACCCCGTCTCTACTAAAAATACAAAAACATTAGCTGGGCATGGTGGTGTGTGCCTGTAATCCCAGCTACTCAGGAGGCTGAGGCAGGAGAATTGCCTGAACCCAGGAGGTAGAGGTTGCGGTGAGCCGAGATCGCGCCATTGCACTCCAACCTGGGTAACATGAGTGAAACTCCGTCTCAAAAAAAAAAAAACCTAGATGATGGGTTGACAGGCACAGCAAACCATCAAGACACAAGTATACCTATGCGACAAACCTACACATTCTGTACTTGTATCTAGGAACTTAAAATTAAAAAATGTTTTTAAATGCTTTTCGGCAGTCTAGAGAAATATATTTGGAATATTTTTAAAAATTATTTATTAACACAAACCTCAAACAACTGCTGCAACCAAGTATAATCACTGAAAATACTATTAGCAAAGTTAAACTTTGCAATGTAAAACGATGCAATATAAAATATCCTCCACTGCCATTTCTCAAAGCATATGTGAGCTTAAACTTGTCTGCTCTGAGCAACATGCATGTTCATACACATGCATATTCACCTGCACACCCACACGCACCAGCACACACATTTAGACAAGAAAAGTAAGCTCCTGCTTACGGTGAATGAGTGGTATGGCGTGAACTGGGCTGGAAGGTCAACTCAACTCCACACTAACTCTCTCATTGGTTTACTACAGAGCCTGAAGCTTCCATCATTAAACTGTCCCTTTCAGTTTAGGCATTTTCTATAAAAGGTCCTTATTGAAACAGAACAGTTAAAACATTCACCCCCTAGCACTCATTTATCACAGATGGTGTGATAATAAAAATTATGATGATTACAGCTCATATTTATAGCTTGCCTTACATTTGTTGGTGGAGTATGTGTGTAAGACAGGGTCTCACTCTGTTACCCAGGCTAGCGTACAGCAACAGTGATTACTGTTTGCAGCCTCTACCTCCTGGGCTTGAGCAATACTCCCACCTCAGCCTCCTGAGTAGCTAGGATTTCAGATGCATGCACCATGCCCAGCTAATTTTTATTTTTTATTTTGTAGACATGGGTTCTCCCTACTTTACCCAGGTTTATCTCAAACTTCTGGCCTCAAGGATCCTCCCACCTTGGCCTCCCAAAGTGCTGGGATTACAGGCACAAGCCACCATGCCTGGACCTTTAACACTGGTAAGACACTTCCAGTTACACTATCATACTTTCTTCCCAGGGCCTCTGACATAGACCCTGCCTCTCCTGGGAACCAGTAACGGAACAACAACTGAACTGTTGTTCCGTTACTGGTTCTCAGGCCTCCCTCCCCAGAGCACTGGATAGTCATGCTGTACGCCCTCAGCATGACACTGGCTGCAGTAGATACATTTGGACATCTGTGTGTTTATCTGCACATGAGAACTGAGGCCCAGAGAGGTCAGATGACTTGCTCAGGATGACACAGTGGCCATCCTAGTCCTGTGCCATCACAGACTACCTGTTACTGATCAGGTCCAGCAAAGTAGCCTCTAAGAGAACAGGACATGATGAGAAGGGGCAAGCATTGGCTGGACTAAGGAGGTGCTAGGCAGGGATGTGGGGAAGATGCAGGCAGTCTTGAGCACAGGAGCTCAATGTTCTCAGGAGAGGGCAGGGGCAGGGAGAACGGGGCTCAGGTAGCCGAGGAGATTAACGAAGTGCCAAAAGCACATGGCTTGGGCAAGGAACTTTAAATGAAGGAGGAGTGGACCTTAGAGTCACCTTTGCCTACAGCTCTCCGTGGGACCAAACTTGTACCCCATGGCAGGCCTGAATCCTTTCTGGGAGGCACTGAGCCACGGAACCTTCTCCAGGCTGTACGGGTGCTCTATCACCACTTGCCCATTTGGGCCACCTTTCTCAGACCTATTCTGCATTGTTTTATACTTGAGTGAAATGAGACACTGGGCAATTCTTCTTCTGTAGCCATGCCTGCAAGCTCCCAACCCATTTCCTTTCTCACCCAGCCTTCCCCCTGCTCACAGACAATAAAGCATTGACCAGAGCAGTGTACATTGACCTTTTCATGAGTTTGAAGACAACCTCTTCTAACACCCTCCTAGATGGTCCAGAGCTGAAGTAGAAAACAAGCTTAGGTTTGATCTGGCACCTTCCCTTGAGTGCAAAATAAGAATCAAGGATCAGAAGCTAAGGAACACAGAAAGGAGGGTGGGCTTAGCAGAACAGTTTGGGGTTTTCATAAAACCAAAGAGACTCGTGACTGGAAAGCAAATCCAGGTATCAGTGACTCCACCTTCCTTTAACCAAACAGTGCAATGGTGGACGTCTTTTCTCAGGGCTCACTTTGCCACAGATTTTACCTTTGTACTTCTTAAGCATGTGGGTACCCCAGAAAACAGAAAAAGGTCAAGCAGCCAATATGAAACAAGTGGCTGAAGGGCACAGTGGTGGTTGCACCTTCATCAATAGTGCTTAGAGACTTGCAGCCTGCTTCCTGTATTCTGTCCTTCAACCAGCTTCAGCCTGGAAGGGGCTGTGGGGTCACGGGTCTGCCCACTAGTTTACCTACAAAGACATCAGCTCTGAGCTCTTCCCTGTGCCTGGATGAGGCTGCATGGAGAGACCTTTGGGGGAATCTGCACTGCAGGGAGAAAAGGTTTTCTGGCCCCATCTTCCCAGCTCCCAGAGCCAAAATGAAGCCTAGGGCCTGAAGGATTTGGGTGGGACACATAGCTTGGCTCATGACATTCTATGGGAAGCCACAGAGGAGCACACTCCCTTTTCTCCCTTACCCTCCACAAAGGCAAAAGATGAAAGGTTCATTTTCTTTTTTAATAGGAGGCTACAGATAGAGGCTTTTAAAAAACAATAGACTGCAGAGGATGGGCATGTTATGAAGAGGTATGAACAATGAATCAATGCTATTTTGTCACTCACCTTCGCCTCTTCATTCACATCCCAGGTAAAGGAAACAGCATTATATGCAATCTCTTCAATGTTTCCAATTGTATTAAAGCTCTCCTTGTAATCAGCTGTAATATCAAAAAAGAAAAAGCTTTTAAAGGAGTAAGAGTGACTCGGTGACATGTACTGAACCATCATTTTCCAATGGGTAAATTTAAACTTTATTTTTCTGGCTATGTCCATGATAACTATTAAGGATTGGTGCTCACTGATGTTCTTTTACTAATATTTACTGTATAAGAATGTAAGCATGTTCCTCTATTAAAAAAGTAAATCTGCCCAGGCGCAGTGGCTCACACCTGTAATCCCAGTACTTTGGGAGGCCAAGGTGGGTGGATCACAAAGTCAGGAGATCGAGACCATCCTGGCCAACATGGTGAAACCCCGTCTCTACTTAAAAACAAAAACAAAACAAAACAAAAAATTAGCTGGGCATGATGGCGGGTATCTGTAATTCCCAGCTACTCGGGAGGCTGAGGCAGGAGAATCGCTTGAACCCAGGAGATGGAGGTTGCAGTAAGCCAAGATTGTGCCACTGTGTTCTAGCCCGGCGACAGAGCGACACCTCATCTCAAAAAAAAAAAACAAAGAGCAAATCTAAGCGTACCAATGTTCACTAGTTCCAGATTTTACTAGTTTTATAAAATTATTAAATGTTTCTTTAGTTCCCCAAGCCCCATGTCACCTACCCACTCTCCCACCTGCTCACTTTTCTGCTGCTTAATTTTGATAGAAGTACCAGGGTACTCCATACAGAGATTTTTGTAGAACAGAATATTCTGTTTATCAGCCAGGCAGTGTCATCAGGACTTTAAAAAATTCCAGGAGACCACAGTAAAGGTTTTTAAAAATTTCTGTTTGGGGCCAGGTGTGGTGGCTCATGCCTGTAATCCCAACACTTTGGGAGGCTGAGGTGGGAGAATCACCTGAGGTCAGGAGTTTGAGACCAGCCTGGCTAACATGGTAAAATCCTGTCTCTACTAAAAATACGAAAATTAGCCGGGCGTGGTGGTGCATGTCTGTAATCCCAGCTACTCAGGAGGCTGAGACAGGAGAATCTCTCAAACCCGGGAGGCGGAGGTTGCAGTGAGCCAAGATCATGCCACTACACTCTAGCCTGGGTGGCAGAGTGAGACTCCATCTCAAAAAAAAAATATATATATATATATATATTTTTGGACTTGGGTATGGAGAATTGAGTAAATCAAACTTAGCTCACTATCAACATTGGTCTATTCAAGCCCTCTCTTACTTTATGACTTTATTTGGGTAGTATATATTTCTTTTTATTCCTCTCATCCTTCCCACAAATGCAATAGCTATAAATGTGTTAATATATATTCTTATGGAATATACTATTTTGACTTGCCTATGTACATAGCTTTAATTTTCATAAATTCTATTGTTCTATGGCTAACGTTGCCAGATTGAGCAAATATTGGGGATATACTTATTTTCAAAATGTATTCACTACTTATAAGAATTTCAAATTTAACTGGCACCCTGGATTTTATCTGGCAACCTGCACTATAGACCTTTTCACATCTAACCACATTGCTAGTTGCACACCTATTTCTAACTGGGGCTGCAGGGACCATTGACCACAATTTACTGATCCCCTCTCCCCAGAGATGGACCTTCAGTGATCTCTGCTTTCTGGTACCACAGATAACTCTGTGATAAAAGTTTGTATTCCTGGGAGCTGAACTGATAGATGACCACAGAAAAAGCTACTAAATGTGCTCTCCAGAACGGCCCTGAAACTCACTCTCCAGGATGGATCAGCCAGTGCAGCCTCCCATCAGAACTCTCTTTCTTTCTCCCTTCTTTCTTGCCAATCTGATGGGCACAGGACAGCATTCCATTGACAATATATTTGCACTTCTTCTACCACCTTTAAGTTCAAACATCCCTGCTCACACAGAATAGCAAACAAGGTGTCTCCTTACAGAAACTGCTTACTAATGTCCTTTGCCGTGTTTCTACGGTTTCCCCCATAGAAATTTTAAAGCCAAACTACATATGTTTGCATTTTAAATAAAGCACACACTTTCATATAAACGCATGTGTGGCCACCACAGGAAAGTCAGAGACCACGAATAAAAAAATATTTAAAAGCAACCACAATCTTCTCATCTTCTCACCTACAAATAACCAACCACAAACAGATCTGTGGTACAATCTTCTCATCTTCTCGCCCACAAATAACCGACCACAAACAGATCTGTGGTACAATCTTCTCATCTTCTCGCCCTCAAATAACCGACCACAAACAGATCTGTGGCACAATCTCCTCATCTTCTCGCCCACAAATAACCGACCACAAACAGATCTGTGGCACAGTCTTCTCATCTTCTCGCCCACAAATAACCGACCACAAACAGATCTGTGGTACAGTCTTCTCATCTTCTCGCCCACAAATAACCGACCACAAACACATCTGTGGTACAGTCTTCTCATCTTCTCGCCCACAAATAACCAACCACAAACAGATCTGTGGTACACTTCATCTGTCCTATCTTTCTCTCTGCCTCTCTTTCTCAAAAATATATAATTTTTATTTCAGATGGAGTTTTGCTCTTGTTGCCCTGGCTGGAGTGCAGTGGCATAATCTCGGCTCACTGCAATTTCTGCCTCCAGGGTTCAAGCGTTTCTCCGGCCTCAACCTCCCGAGTGGCTGGGATTACAGGCATGCGCCACCACACCCAGCTAATTTTGTATTTTTAGTAGAGTTGGGGTTTCTCCATGTTGGTCAGGCTGGTCTCAAACTCCTGACCTCAGTTGATCCAACTGTCTCAGCTTCCCAAATTGCTGAGATTACAGGCATGAGCCACTGCACCTGGCTATAAATATTTTACATAATACTGTAACAATTATTTCTTATTTTTTACCTAACACATCATCAGCATCTTCTCATGTCAACAAACTGGTATAAAATTTACTTTTAATGGCCAAATACCACTATACTGAATTATGTGCCATGACTTTATTTTGCTCATCTTGGTCAGATGATGTCCAATACTTTTCTATTTCAAATAATGTTTTATTTAATTATCTTTACAGCTAAAAATGCTTATGTGCTTAATTTTTTTTCATTAATATCTATTCTTAGAAGTGAAAGTAGCAGGTCAAAGGGAAAAATATTTTTAAGGTTTTTAATTCATTTTGTGAAAGTGTTCCTGGAAACGTTGAAACAATTTATGTTCACAGCAACAGTGCACATGTTCTTTCTTCCTCAAGTGTTTCTTTCCAAATTGATATGCAAAGCATGGTAACTCATTATTTTAATTTGTAACTAATTGGAAAACAGATTGAACCATTTTTCATTGTGTTTTTTACTCTTTGTATTTATTTTTTTCTCTGTTTTAAAAATGTATGCATTTATTCCTGTTCTGTCCTTTGCCCATTTTTCTCTTAGCGTATTCAGTTTCCTTACTGATTTTGAAATAAAGTTAAAAGAGAAAGCAAAAAGCAAAGAAAAACAATTTTATATCTTTCAAATTTAGAATAAGGTTATACGACTATACTGGAATGATTTCAGATGTAAACCTGTGCTTTCAGCAGGCCAGCCAAACTTTTAAAATGTTGTAGAGAAAAGAAGACAGCTGAATTTAGCTCAACTGAAGTCTTTGGTTCTTTATAGCTAATTATTTTAAAAGATAGTCTTGCAACTTTGAAGTTTTAAATATACATTTAAAAACAGCTTTTAGGTGAATTGTAAAAAAGAAAGCAAATGTCATATCTAGAAATAAAGACAAACCAAGAAAGCTTGGTGAAATATGTATCCTAGCTCTCATGATTTACAGCATTATGAGGTTTTACTTCCCATAAGTTGTCCCCGTAAAAAATGTCTTCTGTAAAAAATGTATTCACTCAAATAAGGAAAGAATTTCAAAAACAAATGCAATACAGACACAGATAAAGCACTTTAATCTTGTCCAAGGTCTCTATCAGTTTCTATCACCTTCACTTAATTAACAAATGTACTGAGGAAACATTTACTATGGGCCCTCCATGTGCCAGGCAGTGTCCTTATGCTTGAGAAAGAGCAAGAAACAAAACTAGGTCCCTGATCCTGTGGCTTTTTCAGAGACAGAATATAAATAAGTTATAGATAAATAAATGAACAAGATGATTATCCTTAATCTGCTTTTTATGCCCAAAACAAAAGGAATAGTAAGACTACTTTTTATTGGGTGGTTCCATTACCTTGTATATGTCCTTCATGGCATGTGCAAGTATTTTATTCATTAGTTTACTATTTATCACCAGCATGTCTCACTAGCTATACATGTTATACGAGGACAAGGAACTTATCTTTAATACTGCTGCTTTCTCAGTGCTCAATATCATACTCAGAGGATGTGTTCCATCAGTTTGTTGAGTGAATGAATGGATGGATCCATAAGCATTCTAAACAAAAAAGATAACTAAGAGATTAATGTCATGCACTCCTCTCTAGCCTGCTCATCTCTACCCTTTGTGTTCAGTCTCTACAGGTGGTACAATAGCTCTGCTCCCACGTCACAACTGTGAAAGCCTTCTAAGAGACTAACCAGATGATGCACACTGATGCAGCTTTGTCCACATGCATAGTTGTCCAAGAAATAAAATGCCAACAGATGTGTCTCCGGTTTCTGAAAGCTGGGTGAATGTCCTTTGGTGAGTGTTGTATGCTTAAGAGTTTATGGCCCACGGTAGAAGCTGAAACTCAGTAACCCGTTGCTGAGCCTTCCGCAACTTTTTTCCTCAAGAAAGCTTCTCAAACCCAAATGTTGTAAATGTTGACAGCTGTAGTCAGGAAAAGGCATAGTGCTGGTTCCCTTGAGCTGCCATCAGTAATTAGCATGAACATAGTGACTTTGAATAACAGGAGTATTTTTGCTCACAGTTCTGGAGGCCAGGAGTTTGAAATCAAGCTGTGCCATGCTTCTTGTAGCCTCTAGTGGCTGCCAGTGACCCTGAACACTTCTGGACTTGCAGCGGTGTCACGCCAATCTCTGCCTCTGCCTTCACATGGCCTTCTCTTCTGTTCCCTCTTCTCTCTTTTTTTTTTTTTTTTTTTTTTTTGGATATAGAGTCTTGCTCGTGTTGCGTAGGCTGGAGTGCTATGGTGCAATCTCAGCTCACTGCAACCTCTGCCTCCCAGGTTCAAGCGATTCTCCTGCCTCAGCCTCCTGAGTAGCTGGGATTACAGGCAACTGCCACCATGCCTGGCTAATTTTTTTGGTATTTTTAGTAGAGATGCAGTTTCACCATGTTGTCCAGGCTGGTCTTGAACTCCTGACCTCAGGTGATACATCAGTCTCGGTCTCTCAAAGTGCTGGGATTACAGGTGTAAGCCACCACACCTGGCCTGTTCCTTGCCTTCTCTTCTCCTTTAAGAATTTGTCATTGACTTAATCACAATCTGCAAAGACCTTTTTTCCAAATAAGGTCATATTTATGGGTTCCGGGAGTTAGGACATGGACATATCATTTTTGAGGCCCTCCACTCAACCTCCTGCATCTGAGATTACTTTCTGTGATTATAACTCATGTGATCTGAGTGAATGGCTTCTTTTTGCAATGATAGTTACCACAGCTGAAAAATAATCACCCGGCTTTAAACAAATTACAAAACACATCATTGTGAACATATTAAATTTCAAACGAACTTTTTTCCCCTAAAAAAAAAAATGACAAGGCAACATAAAAACTACATATTTTAAATACTAGTTTGTAAACACAATACTAACATCTACCTGGTGAGGATGAGTGAACAAATAGGAAAATGGCTTACTATTTCCCAAAACAGTAATGATGCAACAATATTATTGGCTGAAACAGGTTTAGAAATTATGCTGGCCAGGTGCAGTGGTTCACGCCTGTAAACCTAGCACTTTGGGAAGCCAAGGCGGGTGGATCACCTGAGGTCAGGAATTCAAGACCAGCCTGACAAACATGGTAAAAACCCCATCTCAAAATACAAAATTAGCCAGGCATGGTGGCAGGTAACTGTAATCCCAGCTACCTTGGAGACTGAGGCAGGAGAATCACTGGGACCCAGGAGGCACAGTTTGCAGTGAGCTAAGATTGTGCCACTGTACTCCAGCCTGGGCAACAGAGACTCCATCTCAACAACAATAACAACAACAACTACTAAATAAACAAACAAACAAATAAAACCATGGGGAGAAAAAATGGGAGTCTTTCTAATGAAATAAGAATGAACCTGATCTCATTGTTAATGTCATACGCTGCCGGTGATACAGCCAAACTTTTCAGGGCCTTCTCTAAGGCTGTGTGTGTCCTTGGAATGTCAGAGTGAAGAATATGGGAACTCACGGAAACTCTCTAGGGCCTGCTAGAATCCTCCCAAAGCAGAACAAGTGTTTCCAAATTCCCATGGCTTACAGGCTTGAGTGGATATTTGTAACGGTGCCTCTTGAATGTTGCACTGCACCAGAATCACCTGAAGAGCTTTGATAAAATGCAGATTCTGGGTCCACTCTCTTAGGTTCTGATTCCATGGATCTGGAATGTGGCCATGAATTTGCATTTCTAGCAAGCTCCCAGGTAGAACTGATGTGGCTGATCTGGGGACCACATTTAATACTGTTCTATGGCAAATGGAAATGTCAAAATAATTTAAAGGAGCAATTTCATTATTGGATTATTTGGGTGCAGTAGATTTACTCCACACAGTACTAGAAAGTGTTATATCTGTCATTAAGGTCCTACATCAACTATCAATGAAGTCCATGTGACAGTTCCTCTTTGCTCCTCAGATTTCCCTTCTTAGGAGGGCTAAATTGCAATATGGGAGGACAGGCAGTTAACCTGCACAGTAAGATTCAAGCACCACCTGCTCCAGGATGTCTGCTTATTCTTACGCCTGGAAGCCCATCCTGAAACACTCCATCCTTTGGGTAAAGACATTGTCATCTCCTGGCATTAAAATGCAAATAGTCTCCATGTGATAGCTACTACAAACAGAGAACTTACAAGCTTGTTCCAAGCCTATGTGAAGCCATTACCACCTCTGCTAATCCTGGCAACCACTCTATGAAGCAAGAATCAGCATCTCCCTCTCACACGGAAGTTAAGCTGCTTGTGGAAAATCATATAGCTGGTAACAAGCCAAACTGTGATTTGAATCCGGGTCAGCTTGATGCCAGAGGCCATACTTTAAACCACTGTCCATATTTATCTTGCAAATTCAACAGTATATTGTCAGCAGATATTGGGATCATAGCACATCCTACAGTGGC